TGCTGCTTGAGGATCCCATTCAGGGACTCCTATGAGACAGGTGTGAAAAGGATCTCCAGGTGTGGCTAGGCTCAGACACATTGACCTTTGGCCAGTTCAATGTGCCAGAGTGACCCATATGTTCTGTCACTTTTGGATGTTAGTTAGCAGACAGTTGGTCAGGACTATACACAACACAATTACCATAAGCAGTTTGTTCCATGTAAATGACACCATACTTGCAAACTCACAGCTAAACTTTAACGTTAAATGAACTTTCAAAGATGCTACACTGCTCTTGAAGGGGGAAATGCTTATACTTTATACTAATTTATACTAATATAACTACTGCTATACAGGCTAAACTCTTTATCTTAAACTATCTAACTACTTTTATCACATGTGCTCTGGTATATATGTAGTCTAAGCATGAAAGCAATTTGCTGAAAGGGTAAACACACAACTACAATTTGCTTTATATACAGTTAGATGGAGTCTCTACACTTTTCTTAGATCTTCTACAGAATTTCCTTCACAAACAGATCATGATTTAACACGATTCAGTCTTGGAACGTTCACTGCTCCCGTGATGTCAGCTGGCAGCTGATCGGTGACTGAGGGCTTTGATGTTCAGGTTGTTCTTCACATCCTTCTAAATCTTAAAACAAAGGATAACTGAAAAATTGGTAGAGACACAACATCATAATAACAACATAAAATTTCTGTTGGCAACTGTCTGTGTAGTGCTCAGACACAACTGTGTCCTGACAGCTCCACTTCTGATCCATGTCTGGAGTACCAAGGCTGTGTGGTGACTTCTCTGTTCACTGGATCTCGTGTGTTCAGAGGCAGACAGTCTGGTCAGATGGACAGGTGACCTTTTTGAACCTGCCAACAAAACACAGACACTTCTTCCTTTGAAGTTAATGAATTACACTAATCAAATGCTTTTAGGGCATCAATTTCCCCCGTTTGTTTTTTTTTTTTAAAATAAAAACGAGATGTACTTCTGTTATACACATCAACATTAACACAAAACCATATATACAATTAGTAAGAACCTATAGCAGTTAAAAATCAATTAAATCATAAACATTATTAATAACATATGTAATATAAAACTACTATTAATTACTAAAACACTGCACCAGCATCCCATAGTTAGCAAGCAAACAGAAACAAAAAATCATCAGTGAAGGATTGGATAACCACCTCCGGAAATGATTCTCCAAGCCCACTTCAAAATTGATCCAGCTGTCATATTAATAGGGTCAAATTGCTGAGTCAAAAAGTGACTCAAATACTGATTTGGGACAGAAAACATCTGGATCTGCTGGCAAACATTCTGTCCAGGTAAAGTCAAGGCTTGGCCAGGGCCTGGCTTTAAACTGGAAAGATGCCTCTTAACTCATTTCTAAAACAAGGTTCTCAATAGCAGCAGCTAGGAGATGCTTACAGCACAGCAAACTGTTAAAATGCATTTGTACAAAGCAAATAATCAGAAGCTTTAGGTACCAGACCAATTAAACCATGCAGCAGTTGGTTTAATCTGAAATCTCTCCCATGGCAGCTGTGCCTCAGCAATGGTACATCTTCTTAAAATTCTGGAAACACTGAAAAATAAGAAAGCTATAACAAACAAAAACTGCAGAGATTGTAACAACCAATAGAACTCCCGATGAAGTCAAGGGTGTCACAGACTGCATTCACTTCTATCCACAAGCAGGTGTTCATCAGTGTTCTATCACAGCTGTTTCAGTTGTGGCTATCTTCATCTCTCTAGGAAAATAACTATACTTTGCAGTTTAGACAAGTGTCTCCAATAAAACATAAAACAATTTAAATTAAACAATATTTAAACCTAACAATAATGATTTATGACAAAAGGAAGTAACAAACTTAACCTTAAAAGAATATCTAAGTTATAAAACTTAACTTAAAAACATTCAAGCCTAAATATAATAAAACTTGACTTTTCTTAATTCTATTAACACTTAATCTATATTAAATAAAAACATAACTTATTGTGTTACTACAAAGAGGCAACTAGAAGTTTGATATATACCTTTTAAACACAATATAACAGTAACATGGATTCACTATAAAGATTATAAAAATGTAACAAGTACATCACAATTCTATGTCATCTAGCTTTGAGAATAACTCACAATAACTGCAAATGGTACTAAAAATACTCATTCAAAACAGGAATTTGCCTAGTATACGCTTAAATTGGTTAGGATTTTAAAGTGCAGTTTTTCTAGAGAAAAACCACAACAACACAGAATTTGGCAAGTTGCCATTCAGCTTTTGTAGCACTTTTCAGAAACATTAAGTCTAATTCTTAAACTAAAATCCAAAATCCAAATTGGTATATATGCAGTTATATGTGTTTTATATAACAAAAGGACTCACATTGAAATTACCTTATTAAAATTGTGGAAAAAACAAGCAAATGGGTAATATATACTTTAACTTAACTTTGTCTTGTACAGTAAAGTTCTCTTAACTAATTAATTTTTTTAAACCATAAATATCTTTTGTAGATAACATCAATTGGAAGGTTTTCTTAGAAGCTGTAAATCATACCATATTTTAACCTTAGGTTTTAAGGCTAATTATTGCAAGGTAACTTCTGTTAATATTCACCTTAAACACCTTTTTTTTTGAAAAGGGGCCTTTTTAAACTTTCAGAGAAACACAATAATTTCTCCAGGAAAACTCTAAAAACTACAACTGCATAAACTCATAATTACTTAAAACACAAAATCAACTCTAAAAGGGTATATAAAAACATTTTAAAAAACCCATGAACCATGACTTTTTAACAAACTGGGTACTATCCCAGTGCTTTTTCTTAGAGAGGGAGGGGGGGGTGGACTGCCCGCCCTGCTGCTGCTCTCTGCTGCTGTTATCTTTCTTCACATTCTCCACATACTCTTGCAGAAAAAAAACAAAACAAAAAAACACCTCACAAAGTTAACTTTAACACATACAGTTGTTTCTCTCAATCTCTCTTGTTCACTGATAGAGGAAAAAAGGGGCACAATTTTTACAAAAGCAGGCGATGTTACATGAAAAGTCTCTCACGGCCAGGTGCTAACAACGGTGACCATTGCAGCTTATCAACTTCTAATTACAGTGATGAATTTCAAACTAGATACCATATAGTTTGTGATTTTTTGGCTATTTTGTCTCTTTTTGAAGCTGTCTGAGCCACCTGTTTCTGCTCAGCTGTTTCTGTAATTGTTCAGTGTGGCCTTGGAACTTTTTCTGCACTGCTTCTGCCCCAGGGGTGCCCCCGCTCTCTGCGCACACCTCAGTGCTCCCCCATGTCCCCCTGGTTCGGGTGGAAAACAATCTAAATTTGGATTCTTTTCTTCCAGAGTAGCAAAGTTGGAACTTAAATAAGATTGTAATGTTAAGAGTGACTCCAAAAGTGAAGCAAATAGTTCAGGATATATCACATCCTGCCGTAACTGAACAGATTCTGTTCGTTGTTTCAGCGTTTGCTCTGGAATTTCTTTCTCATTATTTCCTTCTCTCTGACTCTCCCTCCCTCTTTCCATGGGCAGCATAGATAGGAGTGTTTGCCCAGCAGTGGGAGGTAAAGGTGTAAGCATACCCGTAAGCAAGAAGTCCAGGAAGCTCCTTGCGCAAATCAAAACCCTTAAGCTGTGGCTTTTCTAAAAAGCAGGTAAATAAATCATGTGCTGCTTGCCTTTCCATCTTACCGTCAGCGCTGTTGCAGCCCTACAAGGTTCAGCAGCACGTTACGGCCAGGACTCTCCTCTGAGGTCGCCTGGGGTGCGGCACCGTTGCTTTTCGCCGTCCTTGCTGCGGAGGACCCGTCCCCTGTCGCCGACTCCCGTGGCCTTCGCTTTTTAATGTCCCAAAGGTCCCAAAGGTCCCAAGGGTCCCATTTGTTCGGGCGCCATTTGATGAGTTCGGCGGGAGACAAGCAGCACTCAATATGAATGACCAGCAAGTCTCATTTATTGGCAACTCCAAACTCCCTATATAACATCAATAATTAGGCTCACACATAGTGCAAAAGCAAGCTCATTATTGGATATTTCATTTAAGGACAACTCCACCTAGTTCCACCTTCTTGTGGTCGTTCATCTGTGCTGAATCCACATTCTTCTGATCACAGTGTCCTGTTCTCAGTTCACAGTTATCACTAAGGTCTTTCTGACATTGCAACATCTCATACCAACTACACTCTACTGTTGTTTAATTCTTTCTCAGCTAATTGCTGCATGGGAACACGACCTTTGTTAGCTAGCCACTCTTCCACACTGTTGAGCTTCGGGAGCCTCCCGGGAAGCACCAGCCATGAAGATTCCAGTGGGCTCAGCTGCTACCTGCAGGGGTACTGGGTGTGGCCCGTTGTGACTCAGCGGTGCTAAGAGACCCCTGTGACATCAGAGAGCCCCACCACGACTCAGGGTGTGTAAGCGGCGCAGAACCCTGAGGTGCCCAGTCCCGTGAGAGCCACTCTTGCAGAAGGAAGCAGCTCCCGAGATCCATTCGCGCTTCAGGATCTCAGAGATGGAGGAGAACAAGGCAAAACCCAAATGCTCCCAGCCACCCAGCCCCCTGCCCAGCTGGGGGCAAGACCAGGCCCTCAGCGAGCACTTGGTGGGGGCAGTGGGTGGCTCAGCCTGGCCACA